CCCCCGGAACTCTCCCCAGGTAAACTCCAGGTTACAGCATGGCCAAAACTTTCAGCAGTTACAGGTAACACTCTTTCGTTTGTTCGACTTTTGGATAGAAAGCTCAGGAATTGATCACAGTTATGAATCTCTTAGAGACTTCAAGGTTGCTGACCAGTTCTTGACAGCTCTTCCTCACCAGATATGAACATTCATTAGAGAACGTAACCTGATTAAAGCTGATGATGTTGCTGAGGCCGCTGACTTGTATGCTGAGGCTCACAATTCCTATAAAGAACTGAAGGGATCGAACCTTAAGGGCATTGGTTCACCTGAACCAAAGATTAAGAAGCCCACAGTAGAAAAAAAGTCACCAGCTAATACACCAACATGTCATCGGTGTGGTGGTATCGGACATAAACGTCCTGATTGTCCTTCCAAGAAAATAGAGCAAGTTGGTAGATGTTTTGTTGACGGTAATGACAAAGCACCCTTCTGTTCAGGAACAGTTAATGGTATAAAAGTCTCAGACATATTACATGACACTGGATGTACGTGCATAGTAATTTCAGACAAACTGTTCCCTTACTTTAAAACCTCTCGTGTGTCCTCTATTCTTTCAGATTACTTGGGTCGTGAAAATACTTTCCCTACAATACGTTGTTACTTGAAAACTAAATGGTTCACCGGTTGGACTAATGTGGTACTAACCCCAATTACTTGTTCTATAATAGTGGGTAACATTAAAGGTGCCGTTCTTCCTTCAGAGGCGGATCTTTCATTAACACCCATGGATCTAAGTTTTCCAGCTCCTCTTCCTTGCAAGTTAAATAAGCCCCTTAACAATTCCGTACCAGAAGCTACATTGTCTCGTACTGTTCATTTCGGGGTAGAAACAGATGATACTGCTCTCGATAGTGAGGTAGCAGGTTCACTTGTCCACTCGTCAGGTGAAAGTAAGGGTATTGCCTCCGGCACTCTCAATGTCTTGACTAGGGCTCAGACCATAACCCTGGCTTCTCCTACCTCCTCTTCTCCCACCGTAAGTCCTTTTATTTTCCCAGATTTTATGTCCAAGGAAGAGTGTCAATTTACAGCGCAATTGCCCTTCACTTCGGGATTGTCATAATCAAGCTTTTAACAACAAAGTTATCCACGGGAGATACGTATCTCATAAGTTCGAATATATTAATGGTATCTTATATAAATCTGCATTTAAATCTCATTCTTCAGCTATAGATTATTCCCTCCTTGTTGTCCCTAAACCATATCAAGAGACTGTTCTTCAAATGGCTCATGATTTGCCAGTGACCGGACACTTGGCTCATCGTAAGACGTGGCATAAGCTCAAGCACACTTATTTTTGGCCAAGCATGTACTCTCAGGTTACAAAGAAGTATAGTTCTTGCAATAGGTGTCAGTGCTTGCTGCACAAAATACACACTCCTAGCTCCTGTATATTTATTAAATCTAAAACTTCTTCCTGCAGAAACGAGATACTCCACCACAGAAAAGGAATGTTTGGCCCTTGTGTGGGGTATCTCAAAACTTAAATTTTATTTACTGGGAAAAGAATTCATTTTAGAGACGGATCACACACCTTTGATATACCTAGAAACTTTTAAGGGAACCAACAGTCGCCTCTTGAGGTGGACATTGGCTCTCCAAGATTTTAAGTTCCATATTGTGTATATCAATGGTTCATCCAATTATTTCTCTGACTGGTTAAGTCGTGACAGTCAGTAGAAGATTTGTTGCCTTACGCGACTTCCACATTTTAGAACTTTTTCCTCGCCTATTCTTCTTATACTCCTTGACTATAAGTCTTGGTATGGGGGAGTGTGAGGGAAAAGTTCAACAGATAGGAGTAGTGAGCGAGTATATGGTAACGATAGTTTGATTGCCGGCTGCTTGTTAAGGTAGGGTAAGTCTAGCTCCCGCTATCCTCCCCCCCTTTCTCCCCACCCCGAAAGGTGACGTGTGGGGCTCCGACCAAACAGTGATCACTCGACTCACAGCTCCCAGCACAACTGTAAGTAAAAGCCTGCTCCTATTCTAGTGGACTTATTGGTTGAAAGCTTCACTTTTGACCAATAATAAACTTAGTCCTTTCAGCCTTGATCTCCATGTTAGATGTTTTGATAATCACCACGTCTTTTAGGTATTGTACTTATCATGGAGAGTGATTTCTTAAGCAGTGGGTAACCTGTCTCTCTTTCCAGATTGGAATGACAGATCGGGTCACCTGCCAACCAACGAGAAGTGTTGAAGGAGAAGGACTTTTGCAAAAGTCCGGAGACATCACTTTTTGGATCTACCTACCTGATTAACTGTAGGCGACAGCAGACAATAACCCCTCATCTTTGTAGTGGTAAAGAACCTGCTTTCCTGTCACATCTGTATAGGTTGTAACCTGGGATCCATATTTTGTTGTCCAAGTGATCCTTTATGTGGGTCTCTGTGAAAGCAGCGAACATTGCATTTGCTTCTGCAAGCAGTCCACGGATGAAAGGTATTTTGTTGTTCGTTGCTGGCTTTAGACCCTGTATATTTGCAAAGAATGTCATCGGACTGGTGGTATTGTTGGTACTGGGGGGGGGACTTTTTTTCCGGCATTAGTATCTGTATTTGTTGGTTTGGAGTGGAGGCCATCGACTGGGGTTCCACTCCAGGAATGACGATTTGGTGTACGATTTCTGCCATTTCCTGCCAGTTTTTTTTTCCTTCCTGGAACTAAAAAACCTCTCCCTCTTGAGTGGCTGTGACTACCCAGGTTTTCCCATGGCCTGGATGTTTTGTATCTTTTTGTCCCCTTTAGATGGTGTGCCTGGCAATTTAAGTTTTAGCACAGTCTTTCCTGTACTGAAGAGGGACACATTTCAGGGTGAAAAAGCTTACAGGAAGGGAGTTTGCATTTTCCTGTTGTCATATGGGCACGGCATTTTCTCGGGTGGTCATAGTTGCACGTCCCATCTGTTTTTCCAGATTTCCCATGCCTGCAGATACCAAGTGCATAGTATGTGCACAGGCTTGGTTTCCGTTTGCCTTGGGTTTCTGTGATTGTATTCCCTGTTGGTGCATGTTTACCTGTCTTATTCCTATCCTCATTAGAACCAACAATGGAGCTCTCACCAGTTGCTTTTGGTAATATATCCTCACTATTGCTAGTAGAGTCCTCTTGTTTGCTATTCCCTGTTGTATTACTAGTTTGTAATATTGGTTTTATCTTGTCCTTGACTACACTTGTTTCCCCACTACAGCTCCTGTCTCCCATGAGGTCATTTATATGCATTCCCTCCTGCGTATATTTCCTGACTACCTGGACAAAATCTCCAGCTTCACCATTACTGTCTCCCAAGACAGCACTATCAGCCCCACATTTCTCAGTGCATGAGAAAAAAAAAAAACTCAGACCATGTTTTTAGTTTAAAACAGTGAATTTGCAGTGTATTTTCATATGGTATTTATGGTTGTATTCTCGTTTGCTTGGTCTCATTTGATAGAATGAAACATATGTTACAGAACTAGAGATGATTTTGAATGGTTTACAGACAAAAGTACCTCGAAACTGAACTCCAAGTAGCAGAAATGTTCGATTTTTGCCGATGTTCAAGAGTAAACAAATCATGTCATGCATCCAATACAAGTCAACTGGTGGGTCTAATATGCTTTCACAAATGCACTGATATTATTTATACCATTTTGACAATAATGCAATAGTCTCCAGAACAGTAAATCTTATATGTTTTGTGTGAATAAAAGTTCAAAATGGAAAGCAAGCATAATACAAGAGGGGCATGGTGACATGATTTATGAAGAGAGAAAATGTTATTTTAGTGTTAAGAATGTTTGCATTATTAAATCTGGACCCTATTTTGAAACTGGCTTTCCTTGAATTGTGTATGAAATTGGCCAAATTACCAATTTCTCATCACTTTACTGGGTAATTGAAATTGGTAAATGGGCAGTTTCTTGTACTCAGTCAATATAACAAAAGGAATTCTATGGAAATAGCTACAAGTTTGGTCGACTGGAACCATGGAATTGGCCGAAAATAGGGCTCAAAGTGGGTAAAATCGCCGATGCGTAAATATCGCTGAGACCGCTAACTTCGCGAGAGAGTAATTCTGTAAGTTTTCCATCAAATTTCATACTTTTGGTGTCATTACCATCCGGAAAAGATTCTCTATTATTTCATAAGAAAAATTTTTTTTTTTTTTAACTCTTTGACACTGACAACAAGTTTGTGAGCAGGGGTCTCAACAGTGAAAGGGATAAAAGAGGGGTTTGGGTTATTAGTAGTTTGGAGGGATGTATAAGCTGTCATATCTAAGCGTCTCTGCAAATACAGCGAATATGTATGAGTGTTGGTGAAAGTGCTGAATGATGAAAGTTTTTTACTTTTTGAGTCAGTGAGCCTCGGTGGGAAACTGCCGACATGTTAAAAAAAAAAAAAATGACTAAGCCATGGTTTGCAATCTTTGATGTTTTATATAAAATGTGGATTAAAAAAGCCACCAGTGGTGAAACATTTCCTTTAATAAATGTCTTCACTGTGCACTTATGTTTTGTTTTAACAAGGGGTAGTCCTAACAGCAAGCATAGGAGGTAAGGGGGAGGGCCAGCAGCAGGTGAAGGGTTTTAGTAGCAAATGAAGAAAGGAGATTTTAGCAGCAAGTGAAATAATGGGATCCTAGCAGCAGGTGCAGTAGGGAACAAGTCCTAGCAGAAAGTGAAGGAGGAGGGGGATTCCTAGAAGCAAGTAAAGAAAGGGGTGTTTCTAGCAGCAAGTGAAGGAAGGGGGGATGTTCTATTAGCAAGTGAAGGATGGAGGGGTCCTAGTAGCAAGTAAGAGGTAAAGTTCTAGCAGAAAATTACTGTAAGGAGTTAAGCAGTGAACAACAAAGTCCGGAAGTAACAACTAGTAATGAGGTTATGTACTTAGGTTTGTACACTGAGGTATGAGGAGTGACATTTGTCATACAGAGAACAAAGTAGTTATAACAGTGCCCTGGACTAACCCTAGAGAAGGGCTGAGTGAGTCTCTGCATCCTGGAAGATCATGAGGGGAGAGCGATTCTCGACGGAGAACCCCTCGAGACCCTAAACGACTTGAGGAACGTGATGACCTTGATGACAGTGATGTATTGTTGCTCTTGATGGAGGCTGACCTTAGGACACCCTGCTGGAGACATGGACAAGCAAAACTCTAAAAATTTACAGTAATAATAAACATTCCTTTTCCTCAAATTTTAAAGTTAGACAAAAATTTATAGAAAAATATATAAATTAAACTACATATGAACTTCAAGGAAAAAAAAAAACACAGTTCCTTGAATTTATACTATTCTATGTAAACTGTGATACTAGAGTTTTATGTACCTGTGGACGGTCATGCTGGTCGGAGCTTGAGCAGTAAAGAGCCATAGCAGGACTGAGCCTGTTGTTGAGTTCCCCACGCCCACTTGGCTCCAGAGTGGCATGGGGTGAGCCTTGGGGTGTGGCAGCAGTATGTGTAATGATTGGAGGGTACCCAAGATGGGCAGTGGGAGTAGACATAATAGGGGTGAACCCTGCAGGCGTGGGTGGGATCTCACGGCTCGTTGACTGTGGCATATGCAGCAACTTGTTCTCTAAAGAGAACAATGCAGTTTTACAGCAAACATCTCATAAAAAAGTAAACACACATAGGTAAATTAGCAAAGGTGATGCAAGCAATGTAACGATGTTCCTGAGGTGGTAGATACTTACCTAATACATATAAGACAAAGGAATACTTGTGAGGGGAAAATACATCAGTGAGAGAGAGACAGGTGATTACTCAGGGATCACAAATCTCTCTCTTCAAAAAAAAAAAATTAATTATTAATGAATAATGAGAGCTTGACATTGTTCATATCAAGATTAGACATTATCTAACAGAGAAGATATTTACATGAAGTAATCAACCAAGATAGGAAAGAAGTACATTTAATTAAAAACTACTATATACTGAATTTAGTATCATTATGGTTTCTTAAACCTTTGACTGTCGCAAGCCCCTTTCTGAGACTGTCATTCTATGTTGCAAAATTTTTGGAAAAAAAAAAAAAATTATTTTTTCTTATGAAATGATAGAGAATCTTTTCCTGATGGTAATGTCACCAAAAGTACAAAATTTGGTCAAAAACTCAGAATTACGCTCTGGTGAAGTTAGCGGTTTTGGCGACATATACGCATCTGCGATTTCGCCAACTTTGAGCCCTGTTTTTGGCCAATTCCATTGTTCCAGTTGACCAAACTCATAGCTATTTCTTTAGAACTCAATTTTTTCTATCAGTTCAGTACAAGAAACCGCCCATTTACCAATTTAAACTACTCAATAAAGTGGTCTGAAATTGCCAATTTGGCCAATTTCACGCAAATTGAAAAAGATGCCAATTTCAAAATAGGGTCAAGAATAAACAATGTAGACATTCTTGGAACTAAAATAACAAATCCTCTGTTCATTAGTCACGTATCGAGGCCCCTCTTATATTACTATTGCTTTCTATTTTGATTTCTTATTCATACAAAAATAGAAGATTTACTGTTATGCAGACTAATGCATCATTGTAAAAATGATATAAATAATATCAGTGCATTAGTGAAAGAATATTAGACTACCCAGTTGACGTGTATTTAACCTGTGGTGTGATTTGCTTACTCCTGAACATTGGTAAAAATCGAACATTTCCGCTAATTTGAGTTCAATTTCGAAGTCGTTTTCATCGTGAAACTAATCAAAATCACCTCTATTTCTGTAATATGTTTTCCATTTTATCACCTGAGACCATGAAAACGAGAATACAGTGATAAATACTATACGAAAATACAGTGGACCCTCAGCTAATGATAATAATCCGTTTCTGAAAGCTCATCGTATGCTGAGATTATCGTTAGCTGAATTAATTTTCCCCATAAGAAATAATGGAAATCAAATTAATCCATGCAAGACACCACAAAGTATGAAAAAAAAAATTTTTACCACATGAAATATTAATTTTAATACACACAAACTGACACTTACCTTTTTTGAAGATCTGGTGATGATTGATGGGATGGGAGGAGGGGAGAGTATGGAAGTTGTTAATGTGTAGAAGAGGAATCCCCTTCCATTAGAACTTTAGGTAGCACGTCCTTTTCCGGGGTTGCTTCCCTTCTTTTAATGCCACTAGGACCAGCTGACCGTGATGCAGCAACAGCTGACTTTGGTGCAGCAGCAACTGACCGTGGTGCAGCAACAGATGATGGTGGTGTAGCAGCAGCTGACTGTGGTGCAGCAGCAGCTGACCATGGTGCAACAGCAGCTCACCATGGTTCAGCAACAGCTGACTGGTGCAGCAACAGCTAACCATGGTGCATTAACAGCTGATGGTGGTGTAGCAGCAGCTGACTGTGGTGCAGCAGCAACTGACCATGGTCCAGCAACAGCTGACTGGTGCAGCAACAGCCAACTGTGGTGCAGCAACAGCTGACACTGGTGCAGCAGCAGCTGACCGTGGTACGATAGTACATATTTCTCACCCTTTTTACCACAGGGTTGGCACTAGAAGCTTTCTTTGGGCCCATGGTGGCTTATTTAGCAGTTACAAGCACTATAAACAATGGAATAATGCAAAATGTATCGAATGTATTCATACAACCGGCCACCCTGGCTTGTAATCAATGACGGCAGGGCTGGATGGACAGGTTCGGGACGAGTCATGTTGGTCAGAAACAGCTGATGATGGTGCAGCAGCAGCTGACTGTGGTGCAGCTGACTGGTGCAGCAGCAGCTGACCGTGGTGCAGCAGCAGCTCACCATGGCTCAGCAACAGCTGACTGTTGTGCAGCAACAGCTGACGGTGGTGAAGCAGCGGCTGACCATGGTGCAACAGCAGCTGACCGTGGTTCAGCAACAGCTGACTGTTGTGCAGCAACAGCTGACGGTGGTGAAGCAGCAGCTGACCATGGTGCAGCAGCAGCTGACTGTGATGCAGCAGCAGCTGACCGTGGCTCAGCAACAGCTGACTGTGGTGCAGCAGCAGCTGACCGTGGTGCAGCAGCAGCTGACCGTGGTGCAGCAACAGCTGACCGTGGTATGATAGTATGTATTTCCCACCCTTTTTACATATGATAGCTTGAGAGGTGGTATCTCCTGCTATCTGTTTTTCGTTTATCCACACCAATAACAGTCTCTCAACATCTTCGAGTATTTGCGATCTCTGTTTCGAAAACAAACTTGCACCTTTTGCAAGAACAGCTTCCTTGATTGCTGTTTTGTTGGTACACTAGTAGCGATGGTTGATTGGGGTTTGGTATACAACCTGGCCAGCTCTGAGACACTCACTCCACTTTCGTATTTAGCAGTTATCTCTTTCTTCATTTCCATATTAATTTTCACCTTTTTTACTGCATGGTTGGCACTAGAAGCTTTCTTGGGGCACATGGTGACTTATTTTGCAGGTACAATCACTAAAAATGCTGTGATAATATGAAATGTTCCGATTGTATGCGGGGATGCGACCGCACTGGCTGGCTTGTAAGCACTGGCACCCACGGGACAACTGAGGCTCGCTCAGGCCACACGTGGACGCGTCTTGAATCACGTAGGGTGAGTTTTTTAGTGTTAGCCGAGGCAAAATTTTTGCGTTAAAATGTATCGTATGCTGGATTTAAAGTTAGGTGATGTCATCATTAGCTGAGGGTCCACTGTACACCTCTAAGTCGGCGTTTTAATCCAAAAAAACAGTCAGTTGTTTTTTTTCTAATTATGCACTGTGTGCTGCAGAATTTTTTTTATGTGGTGGACACTGACCACACAGACCCATTCTCTCACATGTGGGCCTACCAGCTTTCTCCCGCTTGATTTGAAGCCACTAGAATTTACGCGTATAAATACGTCTGAAACAGTGGCGCGTAAGATGTATATATACGACTGAAACAGTCAAAGGGTTAAAGAATAATCCATGGCATAGGTTTCAGAAAGCAAGGTACTGAAATGAACATAATAATGTATATAATTAAGAAATATGAATAACACATTTCTGCATAAATGCTTAACCCTGTGACTGTTTTGGTCGTATATATACATCTTACGAGCCACCGTTTTTGACGTGTATATACTTGTAAATACTAGCAGCTTTAAATCAAGTAGGAGAAAGCTGGTAGGCCTACATGTGAGAGAATGGATCTGTGTGGTCAGTGTGCACCATATAAAAACAATCCTGCAGCATGCAGTGCATAATGAGAAAAAAAAAACTCCAACCATTTTTTTAATTAAAATGCTGACTTTGTGGTCTATTTTCATATAGTACAGTATTTATGGTTGTATTCTTGTTTCCTTGGTCTCATTTGATAGAATGAAAAACATACTATAGAAATAGAGGTGATTTTGATTGGTTTTTCTATGAAATGGAGCTCAAAGTAGGGGAAATGTTTGATTTTTGCCGATGTTCAAAAGTAAACAAATGATGTCATTTTCCAATAAATGTCCAAGTAGCCATTCTAATATGCAGTCATGAATGGGTCTGCATTATTTATACAATTATTACAATATTGCAGTAGTTTTCCTAACAGTAAATCTTCTATTTTTTGTTTGAATAAAAATTCAAAACAGAAAGCAAGAGTAATATCAGAGGGGCCTGGAGATGTGACTGATGAACAAAGAAAATGTTATTTTAGAGTTGGGAATGTCTGCATTGTTCATTCTGGAGCCTATTTTGAAATTGGCATATTTTTTAATTTTCGTGAAGTTGGCCAAAATGCAAATTTCTGACCACGTTATTGGGTAGTTGAAATCAGTAAATGGGTAGTTTCTTGTACTCAATTGATAGAAAAAATGGAGTTCTAAAGAAAGAGCTATGAGTTTGGTCGAATGGAACAATGGAATTAGCCAAAAATAGGGCTCAAAGTGGGCAAAATCGCCGATTCATAAATATCGCCGAGGTCACTAACTTCGTTAGAGTGTAATTCCGTCAGTTTTCCATCAAATTTCGTTCTTTTGGTGTCACTACAATCGGGAAAAGATTCTCTATCATTTCATAAGAAAAAATAATTTTTTTGGGGGGGAAATTTTGCAACACCAAGAGACACCTCAGGATTTGGGGTTGCGACAGTCAAGGGGTTAATAACTTAGTAGGAACATAACTAACCCTCAAGCACACATCTATGTCTCACATTATAGTTCAGAATGCTTCTTTCTGCCCTAGTTTTTTTCCCCCTACTTTATAGAAAACAGATTGAACATCTAGATGCTAGCTAGAAGACTGGCTCACCAGTTGATAACTACAAAACAGATGACATGGGGAGAGTTATTCTCCATGGGTCATAAAGCTCTTGCAAAGAAATGGGCATTTCAAAACAATGTAGTGTATGTTTGAGTTCTGATGACCACCACTAGGAACTATGTCTGGTACCCCAAATCACAGTGGAGGCAGCTGTAAAATGGAGGCAATGAGGCACAGGGACAGGAACTCAAACTATCAGCTGGATGCTTTTGAAACTGAGCTGCTGAATGTGACAGCAGATCTTATTGTGAAACAGAAAGACCCTGATCATTGAAAGCATGACCATTCACGTGAACAGTCAAACAGTCAGGAATCACCCGTGTAGTCTAATGTAAAACTTATCA